TTCAAGTCTCTTAATGAAAACTTTCATAACACCAAAAGATCAAGTAATAGATAATGTAGATTGCAAACTTCCATCTCTTATCTAAGTTTCTCAAATGGTAACAAAGCTTTAATGAAAAAAAGTTGAGGTCTAAATGCTTTTCTTGAGATATTTCAATCTGATACCCACTTAAATGAAAGATCAGTTGAATTAACTTGTTTGATATCATAGGTAGTAAAAAAAAAGATTTCTTTTGAGATTCAAGTGAAACAAGAAAATTATTTCAAATAGATAGTTTTCTTTTGAGAAGAGGTTGTTTTCATTTTTGGGTTTTTTTGATAGGTCTTGAATTGTCTCTTTCTTTCAATTATTTTTCTCTTTTCTTTTTTTAATTTGGTAATTTATTGGTTTTTGGATAATCAATAATAACAAACTATTGACAATGATCTGGGTAGATGGAAATTATTATCAATTTATTAAGAGAGTATAATATTATTTGCAAAATCTAACTTAGAGTACTTATGATGAAGATGAGTTAGTCACTTTGTGAAAGTCTGTAAATTATTATAGATTAACTTTAATTTTTCAATAAAGACAAGTTATCATAGTATAATTACAAGTTAAAAAAAAAACAAATAAATTTTTAAAACTAGTCAAGACATTATAAATTTTTATATTAGTCTTATAAAAAGTGATTTTATTTAAAAATGGTAAATCCAAAATATTATAAAAAATATATAGAAAAAATAATAAAAGGATAAATAATAAAGATATAAAAAAATTTTATAATTAAGTTTATAAAAGAATCTAGAACAAGAAATGTAAAAAGATAATTGAATGAAAACAATTATAGAGAATTCATAGAAAGAATAATATAAAAAGACCATATTTTATAGACTAAAAAACAAAAGTCTCAAAGAGATTTTATTTAAAAGAGTAATATATAAAATAAAGGAATTAAGTTTTGAGCTTTGTTGAAATCTTTAAAAATAATCTACAGTAGTGACATATAGGAAATAAAATTAGTAGTTAAAAGGATCTTTACCTGAACTATTAATAGGGTGATAAATTATTTTCAAAATTATATTTAGAATTTTGATAAATTTCAAAATAGAGATGAGTGAATTATGTAGATATTTAGCTTTAGCAATGTATTTCATGATATAAAATATACAAATGTTTAATAAAGCACATATACCTAGTCTGATAAAGGGTTTAAAAATAAATAAATAAATAAAAATATTATTAAAAAAATAAAAAGGATAATATAAATATAAAAATAATCAATTAAATTATTAATTTAATTTAATTAAAAACTTTATATAGACAATTTATTATACTGTATATAATGTTTATTATACATAAACTTTTAAAAACAAATAATTTAATTCATAGATATTAAGAAAATTTAATTTAAATAAATATTTATGATTAAAGTATATTAATAGATTTTTGTGAAAAACTCTTTCCACTGATTCTCTGACCATACACAAAAAAGATGTTCGCAAGAAGTTTTAATACTTCTATGCTAATAAGTCTTATCACTTTCTTTAAACCAACTCAAGAATTTCTTGAAAACTTCCACACCTCCCCTTTTCTCTTGTTTACACTCTTCTTTGAACAAACTGAACTCCTGTAATCTGCAAAGTTCAGTTCCTATCTTTACTACCCATGGCAAGAAAGTTACTAAAGGAAGAAAGACCAACACTGAAGTATCTCTCACCTTTCAATTATGGTAAAGATAACAGAGGTTCTGTCCCAGTCAAAGGGCTTACTTTTCTACCCTTTAACTGGTATTGTAGCCTTTCAGAGCTACCTTTTTCATGACTTTTTGGGGAATTTTGCCTACCCTAGCTTGACCCTAAAATTTTGGATAGCATGAATCTCATCAACTCTGATTGGTTGATATGAAACACGTTGGACAAGATTAATAAACAACCTTCTATTGGTCATTTTATATGTTTGAATGCATTTCTTCCGATCCATAAGAACCTGAGATTCATTATAAGTCATTATGCCTGGTGCAGATGGATACAGGACATGAAATCTCCTATATTAGTGGCTATCAAGAAAGAACAAGTTGCAATAGGACACATTGGATAAACAACAACTCCCTCATTTTCTATTCAACTAATGAAAACTGACAACTTGGATATTATCTTTTCAGAGGGTTTTAATATACCTATTTTTTCACTGTAAACCAATAATAACAATACTATTACCAACATCCATTGGACAAGATTCGTCACACTCCTTCCTCTTTTAAAATTTTCTTTTAGCATTAGTGAAGTTAAGGCTCTACATAAGGGATCTCAATATCAGTGATGCTGAGTATCTTAGGCGAATCCTTGGTATATTAGCTTTCCTTTTTGGTGGATAGCGATAAGCCGCTTAGTGGTTTCAGGACCTAGAGAGTGTTATGGCATAATAGGTTTGGATAGTCAAGTTTTGGGTGTCTAGTTAGTTTATCATAGTAAAGAGAATTATCTAGACTAGACAGTTATATGGTTGCCTCATCCTGGTTGGGTGAGATGTAAATAGTTAACTCTTTGTACTATTCGTTGATCTGTAAATCCTTAGACAGTATGGGTAATTATTCATCCCGGTTGTTCTCAGATATAATCTTTATTATAATAAAATGGTGCCATGACACATGGATGAGCTAGTGTTAAAAAAAAAAAAAAAAAAAAAAAAATTAATAGATTTTTGTAATTACAGTATATAAATAAAGTAAGCAAATATTTAAAAAATTTTATACTGTTCAGAATTCTACCCTTTTTATAAATAAGCATTAATTTTACTTTAACAGATTAATTTTTCTTTGATTTTGAAATAACCATAAATTTAATTAGTCTAGTTAGTTTAAACAAACCGGAATTTTTGGTAACCTTTATAAATAACCATTAGCGGTTTACTTTATTAAAGCTAATAAACAAGGTTGAGATCACTGATAGAGTTTTCATTTCTTAAATGGAAGATAAAGTTTTGACCCCTCCATATAACCAGCTCGAGCCGTAAAACTTATGATTAAGGTGTTTGGCAAATTGCAATGTAGTACTCGATCCTCCAAATTTTTTCGCCATCTTTCCAGAAATAGAAATCCGAATAATTCCATATGAATCCTTGAAGAAAGCTTAGCTGATAATCACCCGAAAATGGTTCCGAACTCTTCTGATATTATGGCAAGAATAATACTTATTAGTGTAATCCTCTAGTATCATATGTCTTCATTTTTATACTGATAGAGCATTCAAAATTGCTTATGCGATGTCGGATCTGTTTGCAGATGAATTTCCGCTAAACTACGTCTTATACGACCGAAAATCTGGCTGAAAGTGATGTACTGGATAGAAAGAAATCGCTCTAGAACGAAGACTTTTACTGTTCTAATTAAAATATCATAAGGTCCTTTGCAATTATTATTATTATTATTATTAAGTGGAATCGTATTAGGTGTGTCAACTAACGGAAATAATATAACTAGAAAACGAAGCAACAAAACTGTCTGACAAAAAGGTGACTATAAAGAAAGAACTAGAGGTTGAAGTTGAAGTTAGTGCTTTTTTTATTTTGAAATAAATATTTTTTTAACGGTTAGATCTTACCATCAGATCAACAAACAGTACGATATTTTCGAGAAACAACTATTATGTGGGAATGAATTGTTAGCCGTCGTAAATAAGCGAATTATAATTTAAAATAATCCAAGAGCTTAAGGAAATCACCAGAAGAGTAGTTTTATATGAAAAATTTTTTTTTTCTAATTACAAACAATCTAATTATATTACCAAATTAGTATGAAATGACTGCAAAAATTTTGTATCTCAGAAGCTCAGGTTTTATTTTCTTCCTGCATTCTTTCAATTCTAATGATTTCTTTATATATTACTCGTGGGCTGCATCGAAAGTTTAGATATTTATTATCAGCCAACATATGAAAGTTGGTAATAAATACATTTTAAAAGCATTAAGCTCAGAATGTAAATGGTAGTATGTTAATTAATTTTCGCACCAAATTTCATCAATAGTATAACTATCTAATTAAATGGCAGCAATCCAGCTTTACTTATAAATCCAAATAAATACAGAAATTACACTTTAGAAAATCTACTGCTTAAAACATGAAACAAAATATAAATTATATTCAATCAGGGACAGTAATAGCATTTAATTATAATTATTTATTATTTATTGTGGGGATATTGCAAAGTCAACAATGAATCGTGAAATATACAGTATGCCTGAAAAAATTTACCACCAATGACGTTAGTAACAATCAAATAGCAACTACTGTGACTCATCTTTCTTGGGGAACCTATAAAATAAATATGCTAGTTCTTCCTGTAAGTTGCGAAACAAATATGGAAAATATACTTATTGAAGCTTCGTCGCAAAGTCATAAATAACTAAAATGATATTTATCGATTATAGGGATATGTTTCTTCAAAAATATATTTTAAAATTCATCGCAAAATCAAAAATTTAATATTGAAACTTAGAAAACCAAGAATTTGCATGCTGTAAAGTCATAATTAAAGACCTTTATGAAGTTTATATATAGCATGCAACATGCAACATAAATGAAGGCAATAATTTGACTTTATTATATAAAAGACAGAACAAAGTTCGAAAATTTAGCAAATAACATGTTAAGAAAACTCAATATTTGTTAATTTTTATTAATAAAAAGAACCATAGAATGCCCAAATATTTTGTAAATAGAGATTTTACAATAAATTTAGATATTGTATACGGACGTTTTACAGGAAAGCTTTTTCTGAGTTACAGTATATACCATTTTACTAATTTTATCTTTAAATGGAATTCAATGTTATCATAACCAACTATTTCGAGAATTCATAGACGGGATTATATTTTACACTCATTCAAGTGAATTACCACACAACTTGTGTAATCAATGCGGCGCAGACGAAAAATTTCAATCAAGGTGATTGCATCGAGAAATCCTTTATGAAAACGAAATACAGTGATGATTTATGCAATTAAGAATGTTTATACGTCTATTTCTTAATCATGAGAATAGCATTTTCAACAGAAAACTCTGTCAGGTCCTCGGAATCTGGCAAAGAATCGATGGTTACATCTTCGCCGGAGGCCTGAATCCAAAAAGACATGTTCGAGATAGAATTTATGATTCCAAAAAGTTTTAATCTTGAAAGTACTCACACATAACGAGGCCCATCTCCTGAACAGTCGTTCGGTAAGAATAAAGTGCATGTTGCCGTCAATCAACAAACATCCTTCGGGATGATAATGACAGCACCCCGAATATTTTGCCTTCAATCCTGTAAGAGCAGTTTTAAACCGACTCTTGAAACTCGAGGGTTCCTTCATTTAAACGGAATTCAATTCAATATAACGTGTTAATACTTCATTAATTTTGAAATAAAGACATGGCTCGTGTATACTATATTACTTCGCAATCGTTCTCAAACTTGCTAGTTTCATCGAGTCCAATACGACGACCTAAATTTAATTACACTTAGTAGCAATAGATAAACACTAAGGAGGTAGGTATTAAACCAAAATTTATTATTACTTCTACGCAAGACGATCCTTTTCCGATTGGACCCATTCCCTAAAGAATAAAAACATCGCTAAAAATTTTTGAAGAAAACAATTCCTGGAAATAAAATTTTAGGCTGATGCTATTCACCCATTGAAGAGTTATCATTCACCTCCTTCCCCTCAACATTTCTCACAACCATTGACGTCTCTGGATAGATCTTGGCATCTGCAGAATTATATGCAATATTGACTTATCCATAATAGAAATTCAATAAGATTGATTTGTCTTCAAAACAGATGTTTTACCATTCAATAAATTTCTGTCAATCACAGTAGTGGAGAATGGTAACTGAATGCATGGTGGGCGATAAGCGATGATATTTGATGTCGCTTCTTCGGTGGATAACATTAAATTAGTCGATTTCTCACTAAAATCATTACATTTGAAGGGGCTAAAGGCAAAAGGAAAGCCATTCGTTCCCTCATTCTGTAATACTGCAAAGTATCACCACTATTACTATCACTACTACTGATTGCTCAAAGCAAAAATACTGTATGTTATGTCAATACCTGAAAATCCAGATTCCATACTACAACGATTGAAAGGATCACTTGTAGATTGAAACCCAGATTCCGTAAACGGAGCCGCATGATTTGTGCCAATATTCTTTCGGGCATCGTTGGTACTTTGTTGCTCGCAAACCATTTTCTTCAATCTTACGGCATTTTTGTTATATGGAATTCCACGAGATCTTCTTGTGGCGATTTTCATGTTACTCTCTTCCACCGCATCCCTTTCCGTCTTGCATTCATTTAGTAAATTTATCACGTCAGGATGTTTACAAGCCGCATCCCATTCTCTATTGTGAAACAAATTTTGGTGATATTTCTTGAAACCCGTAAGATACCATTTGATACTTTTCAAGCTGTTAGTGGACTTTTTTGTGCAAATATAGTTGCAAAGATTCGTTACAGAAATGGGAAATATTGAACCATCAGCATTTTTCCAACCACGAGATTCAGCGAGAATTATATAAGCTCGCATTGTTTTGTTAGCAAACTCGACCTTTTCCCCAGTTTCAAGGGAATGTGAAGTGGTGTCAGATGAGACATCCGAGGAGGAAGACATTGAAGAAGATATGGATGATGGGCGAGCAAAGTTTGGTAATAGAGTAAGAGAAGGAGTAGCTAATTTTGAACTTTTTCGCAAGAGGGAAGAGCCAACGGGTTTAACTCTTTTGGTGTTTTCGGAGCTTCTTGCTCTTGGCATGGTTTAAGCAGCAAATCTTATTCAAATTAATGTCAATTATCGTAATATCTATTATCGAAGAAAGGTTTGAAATGTTTTGACACGACCGCAGCCCCTTATATAAAATGATTAATGATCGATGTGTGACGTTAGCGAGTCATATACCAACACACTATTATAATAATCGAAACTCTTGAGCAAGTCATTTTTAAGCAATAGTTTCGTGATTGCAAGCGATATTTACGTAATCTTGACTCCTAATCATATCGTTGATCACAATCAAAAATTCACCAATAAACTTTGTGCCATCCAGAAACTTACGAGGCTTCCTACTGTATATCATCCCAAATTTTATGTCTCAACACAAATTTCATATAAAGAGCCAAAAGGTTTATATTGCTAAAAAGAAAATTCTGAACCTTTCAATACATGTGATGCCGATAGGCTATATGTGACGGGGTAATTAGGTGTGCGGCAGATAAGAATTTTAAAATGAATAATTATATTTAAAAAAAAAGAAAATTCCAATAACGATTGTACCGTGGTACGAACGTACATACGTACAATCAACAAAAGCAAGGCATTTCCTTTTTAATTAAATAAAGATTTCTCTGTACAATAAGAATGGGTAATCTCATACGTATACATGTAATATGCGGGAGAGCATATACATGAGCCATTAAAGAAAAGTCGAGCATTGTCGTCAATTTAATATAACCTGCTGCGGTCAAATTTGGGTTTCAATTGTGACGATCATAAATTGTACAAGAAATCTTACTTCGGAAAGATAGTTTGAGAGAATAACGAATTGTAATAACGAGTATATTAATTTGCTTCGAGATTATTAAAATATGCTAATTAATTTATTATATACAAATAAAGGCACAAGTGGATGAAATTCATGAACCTGCAAAAAAAACTTGGAAAAGTAAACCTGCTCAACATATTTTTACCACTATTGAACAAATATAAAATCGAGGTGAAATAAACATGGTTAAAAAAAAAAAGAGTCATCAAAATTGACCAATAACTTTTTTTGTTTTTGCATTATCCAATTCAATAAAAATTAAAAATTCATCACTATTCATTAAAATTATTTATTAAAATTTTGATAACTATTTATATTTATAAATTATTTAATATTATTTACATAATAATATATAATTAATTAAATTATAATAATATAAATTACATATTTTATAGTTTGTATTATTCATAATTTACAAATATAACTTCAATTCAAAAAAATTAACAAAGTTTTAAGTACTAAATGAATACTAAAGAAATAAAAAAATAGTAATATCTATTCTATGCTTAAACTCAAGCCCTGGAAATGTTAATTAAGCAACATAAGATTTATTATTTTTCTAGAAATAGTTCAGAAATGTTTTATCAAGATCCTTATCAATCATTTGTCAATAATATATAAATAACATAAAATCCTTAAAGGTTCAAATTTTATTGATCTATCAGATAAAAGTATAATAGAACCAACCCATTTACCTATTAAATAGCATTTATTAAGAAGCTATAGAAAAAAAAAAAAACTATGGATCTTTTTTCCAGACTTTGCTAAGGCATATGTCACAATATCTCTCTTCATGCTTGAAAAAGCTATAGATCAGATTAGAATCCCAAGAAATATCAAAAATATATAATTGATCTCTTCTAAAACAAAAGTTATAGTATTATTCTTTTCAATAAATTCTTTAATCCAATAGTTGTAGAAGATAATATAAATAAAAAAAAAACAATTAAGACCTACGGGTCCATAGTGCAGTGGTTAGCACTCTGTAGGTCTGATCATAAAATACAGGTTCAAATCCTCCAGATGGCAATGTCTGAAGTTGGTAATAATTTGCATCTGTTGGTCTAATCATATCTAACTAACGTTTCCAAATATAGCTACTTGTCTTAAGGAATTATTGGGGAAGAATACCTATTGATAAGTAGTACAGTCTATATAAGGATTGTGATCAGCCGTGATATCTGAAATCGGCTAAGATTATCCTGATGTCACTAGTTACTGTATAGAAGTAATATAGTAATGAACACAAGAGTATATCCCTAAACCAATAGGATGCTGCTGATAATCAAGCATTGGTCTTTGTGCTGCTCACTGACTTAACTATTGGGAGGCCTTGGTGGGAGGAGAAATCTACGGACCACTCCGAAGGACCAAAATACCGGGTCCAGGATACTATATTTGATGGCCTGATAATCTACCTACTCTGGTATAAAAATGTGTAGGGAATAATTAAGACGGAATCATGTAGTTTTTTGTTGAAATAGTACTTATACATATATAGTATGATTAATATAGTTAGCTATATATATGATAGTTTACTATAATAGTTGTATATAGTGCTTATTTGAGAATGTACACAGTAGACACATTACACCTTTCTTTGTCTGTACAAGTACATACGACAGTGATTCTGACACACTGAATAACTCAAATAAAAACTATAGGGCTTAACCAGACATACAGCAGTGACAATCTGCTGGCAATGATGTAGTGGACTAGAAGGGTCTTCACACAAAGACACTGCGAAGCGAAATATTGTCCCCAAGATCAAACTTAGAGGCTTTTATGCTTACGACGAGTTAGTTAGATTTGAATAATAGTTTAGCTGTAGTATGTATCATGCTGCTTGAATGAAAATGTACTTTTGTCTTTATTTGATTAATAAACTAATAATCTAGCCTGGCTACAAATATACAAAAAAAAAATAATAAAAATAAAAAAAAACAATTTCTTAATTGTTATAAAAAATTTTCTATAATTTATTGTTATATAAAATCTAAAACAATACTAAATTGAATTATACTGAAAAAGAAAAAGGATTATCTAATTTTCATAAATCCAAAAAAATTTTTAAGTTTTCTCTAAAGCAGACAGTAATTATCTATATAAATAAAATAACCTGAATTGTTAAATCAAAGAAAGACTTGAAAAGTATTTTGAAAAAGCAAAAAACTTCTATATAGAAAATAACCCATAAATTAATATAACAAAGTCAAGTCTCCTTACTATTAATTGAAAACTTCAAGATTCTAAAATGGTTTAAGTTGAGATAGAGAATATTATAGTTAACAAAATCAATAAAAATGTCAGGTCAGATTTCTTAGTATCCAGTTGAAATTAAAACAGAAGAATTAAAATATAATTAGTTTAATAAAATCAGAAATCAAGATAATAGTTCAGATAATAACTAAAAAGAAGTTAACAGAAAAATATGCTTAATATATTATTAATAGAGTCTTGATTTCAAAAATAAAATATAGAATATAATATATGCATCTGAATAAGAGGATACAGTATATAATGACCTAACAATCATATTTTAGAAGGTTTTCAAAAACAAAGCCTTAATCTATAGAACAATACTTAACAATTGTATTCATAATAAATAAATATATAGTTTCAAAAGTATTTGAGAAATACAATTGAAAAGTCATATATTAGCACTATTTTATCAACTTAAAAATAGTGAAGCCTTTCGTATAATTACTATAATTTGATTAAAACAAAGTCTGATCAAAAGCTAAAAACCTAAAAATATCTTTAATAATTCTGTGAACTTATACAAGTCAATTAAAAACAATTTGATAGTTATAACATTGACTTTAAAAAGATCTATAGATCATCTTTCAAAGCTAGGAATAGAAGAAAACCTTTGATTATTAGAGAGATATCTTATCTATCAAGTCAATATTACAAAATTATAGAAAATATAAGAAAGCTATTTCATCATTATTTAAACGTAAAATCATATTCCTAGATCAAATTATCAACACAATTACAATAACACTTAAGGAATAAAGAACAATTTGGATTCTTTTTAATAAATACAAAGAACTAGTTCCCTTCTGATATAAAGAGATCCACAAAAAGATAACATAAAATAAATATATCTTAAGAAAGTCATTAAATAATCTAGATTGGATAGATTACAATATGTAAACTGAAATATTCTTAGCATACTCAGATAAGAAAAAAATATATTAGGCAATCCATTTCAACTTTTTGACTGATATATAGTATTAGAAAAAATGTCATTTTCAAACAATAAAATCCAGTTCACTTCATAAAAGTTATAATATAACCTTACCAAAAACTATATTCTATTTCAACCAGATAAATCATCTCAAGCATTAGAAGTAGTTCTATTAAAATTTATCTTTTTTTATAACAAATTAGACATAAAAAACTGAAAAAAGAAAAACAAATCTTTCTGTCAGGCAACTCTATAGATTGACAAACAATTATAAGGCAACAAATATTAATTTCACTTATTTATAGACTTGTAGATATAAAAATCCAGGTAGAAAACTAGGAAGCTGTGCTAATAAGACAAGCCATTCAATTAGATAAACTTATATATAAACTTACAAATATTTTACAATACAATAGAAAAAGTATAGCTAATTAGTTCATTTTTTGCACAAATAGCTTCTATAAAAAATGGACAAGAGATAATAAACTTGAAATTAAACAAACTATATTTGAGAATCTGATAATCTGAAATCAACTATCAAAGTTAGAAAAAATTTTTACAATAGCTATATAGAGCAAACACATAATAGAGATCAATATTAAAAAATTTGTCAAAATATTCATCAAAAAAAGAATTGGGAAAGATTGAACAGTACAGAAAAGAATTTAAGAGCTGTGAATCTAAAATAACAAAATTATAGATTGATTAACCTTCTGAAATTAGTTAAATTCATCCAATATCTTCAATATCTTCTTCAAAGCTAATAAAATAAAAGCTTTTTGACTAACTTATCTATAATAAACTTCTAGTATTGCAGATACTTAAGAAAAGAAAATTAGATATTTATATTATAATAACTTTCTCAATATATAAACTTCAAAAAGAGACATTAGAACAATTTTTTAAATATCTAGTTATCAAAGAAGCCAAAGAAGACATAAATGAAAAATAAAAGAAAAAATTATTCACTATATCAGTAAAAAAATCAAAAATAAGAAAGAAGTTTATCCTGCAACTGAT